GTTTTTTTTTTTTTTTTTTTTTTTTTTTTAAGTACTGGACTTCTAAAGTTAGGGTAATATGAAAATGCATATTTTTTAAAACACATTTTATATTTATATAAAAATATAAAATTAAATGTAATTTTCTGTAATAGAAAATATAATGCAGTTACACATGTAATTTTATAAGTGCAATTTTAAATCCATTTATGTATCAAATATTACAAAACAATTGAGTTGATGTATACTATAGTCATTTTAAAAATTAATCAGTGTAATTGATATACTGTAATTTATATTAATGTTTTCATTAATATACAGTTTTAATTACATTATAAAATGTGTAACATATTTTTGCACTTAATTGATGTGCTGTAATTTTAATTGTTATATAATATATAAAATATTTTGCATAAATATACAGTAATATTGTAATTATATGCAATATGTAATAACATATTTTCATTAATTGATTGTTATAAACAGTAATTTAATTACATATGTGAAGTATTTTATATATGAATTTATGAGGTGTGTGTATATGTAAGGAATGATTGACGATGGGCCGTTGAATTATTAGAAAAATTCTAATGCAGTTATTAATGAAGTTATTAGAAAGAGAGACAGAGAGACACAGAGAAAGAAAGCGAGAGAGCTTGTGTGAATTAGGCTACCTCTGTGCGTCCCTCAACAGTGTTCTGCAGCAGCGTCTCTAAACAGCGCTGTTATTACCTCGCTAGTGAGAAATGTCATGTGTAGCCTTTAAGTTGCTACACTATATAGGCTAAATGATAAAATCGTCAGGGCAGTGCTGACAACACCTTTTTGTGCAAACTGCGTGACCGTAGTGTGCGTGTGCGAGCACGTGTGATTGCAGTAATTCCTGTGTGCTGTATAGGTACTGTATGCTAATTTCCGTTATTACAGTTAACTATGCGAAGTGTTATGGAACTGTAATGCGGTCAAGAGAGCTGCCTGGAACTACGTTCGCCATGCGTTTCCCTGAAAATAATTGCACACCTCGGAACGTTCGTCAGCCAATCAGATTCAAGCATTCAACGGCCCCGTAGTGTGTGTGTATGTATGTATGCATGTATGTGTGTGTATTTATTTATTTTAATTATATTATATAAAACATTTTTACGTTACTTGTGTATATATATTCATAATTTAAATAAGAATTCAAATACGCTAGTAAAATTCGATGCGAGTGCCATTTTAGTTTTGAATTTCATTTCTGATTAATGATTATTTTGTCTTGTTTCTTTTTGCAGGGCCTGACTGCTAAACCACTGATAGGATTCACAGGAAACCAAGGGGTGAGTATGCAATTTTATATTAAACTGTTTGTTTTGTGGCCATAAACCACTTGAAATGTTGATTGTCATGTTCCATCATGGAGCCACAGACCTTGCATGAACCTGGGACCTCTCCCCAATTCTTGTGAAGTATCCTGGTTGTGTAGGTAATGCGAAAGCACTGAGACTTGTGTTGACTTCCTGCTACACAGTCATCCATTTCAGTAACCACAATATCCTCTGCTCACGGTTGCAAAATCAGCATCGAGGCAAAGACGGCCATTAGTATGGATCTTCAGGGTGTTTTATCTCCACTTTGTGTCTCTTTCTTGGACATACAGTGGGTACGGAAAGTATTCAGACCCCCTTAAATTTTTCACTCTTTGTTATATTGCAGTCATTTGCTAAAATCATTTAAGTTAATTTTTTTTCCTCATTAATGTACACACAGCACCCCATATTGACAGAAAAACACAGAATTGTTGACATTTTTGCAGATTTATTAAAAAAGAAAAACTGAAATATCACATGGTCCCAAGTATTCAGACCCTTTTTAAGGGGGTCTGAATACTTTCCGTACCCACTGTATAAGACAAGAGTCTAAAAATGTAGTCTGTAGCTCTGAACACATGCCCCACACTGGCATTAGCTGTTTCCTCCTCTGTTGATTTCAGAACCAACATGCTTTTTTTTTAACATCTAGTTTTGGTTTTTCATACGCTCTAGCTCAACCCAGACCTTACGGTGAACAGCCCAATAAATCGGTGAACAGCCCAATAAATGTTCATGTTGCTGTTATCTGCATATCACGTTGAAGAATGTGGTTTGTCTGTCTAGGAGCCATTTAAACTTCTCCTGCATGCACATCTTATGCAAACATACAGAAACCCGACTGCAGTTGTTACAAGCATCCATAGAAAACCCACCATGTTTCTGATTTGGAGAGGTGACGTTTAAGGTGTACATTTGCAAAACTTTAGGTCAGTGAAATGACATCTGTCATTTACTCCCCTCATGTCTTTTATAAAGACGTTTCTTTCTTCAGTGGAACATAAACTGAGAAGTTGGGCAGAATTTACAGGCTGCTCCTTTATATAATTCTGGCAAATACCAATGAGGCAATTGTTATTTTCATGTTTTGGCCAATAATGATAAATGACTATTCTTTTCTAAACAATTTTATTTCTATATTATTTTGCCTAAATTCAAATAAAACACTACAAATAACAATTACAGAAAACACCGTAAAAATACAGTGAAAGTACTGACGCATAATATATCGGTTGGCCTGTCACGATAACAACTTTTTGTTGTGCGATATATTGCCCCAGAAATAAATTCAATAAACGATATTATTGTCATTTTAAGACCATTTGATGCCACTGAATATATAATCATAATATAACTGCATAATAATGCAAGAAGGCCTAAACACTTTCAAATGACAACAAACTTTTAATTCTTAAGAATATTTAGATCATGGAAATTAAGTCAAAATATTACATACCTTAAGAGACTTTAATAAATGGTAAATAAACATTTTCTAACAAAAAGTGCAAAGTAACAAGTAAGAAAAAAGATTTTTCCATCTACAGATTTTTTTCCCTGACCTTTTCTAAATTAAGTGTGCACACTATTGCTGAAAAACACAATCACTACTTATCAGTCAGATGTCCGTATGCACAAAGGCACAGAAAAATATAGAATAAAAACTGTAATATTTGCCATATATTGGTTGACTATCGAAATAATTATTGGGTTATTGATATTGCCCATAACTTTGGTGCATCCCTACTCATTTGCCTAGTCATTAAAAAAGGCACCATTAAACATACCACAAAAGCTGTGACGCATATCAGACATCAGTTATTGGCCGATACAACAACAATAATAATAATAATAATAATAATAATAATAATAATAATAATAATAATAATAATAGTAGTGGTAGTATTTAGTCTAGTGGTTAATATATTTAGACAAAATAATATATTGAATTTTAATAACCATATGAAAATAATTATCGGCTTATCAATATTCATAACTACTACTACTATGTTGTTGTTGAGGTTCTCCACACAGCTGTAAGAAGAAGCTTTGTTCTTACTGCAAACCAGAGGAAGCTCCAAGCTTTCCAGTAGTTCATACAGCAATTTGCAACATTAAAGTGACTATACAGTCAGTTTTCACAGTTCTTTTTTTGTAATTTTAAGAAAGTTAATTAAAAAAAATTGCTGTTATTTTGAACTTTGTATTCTTCCAAGATTCCTGAAAAAACGTATCTCAGTTTTCAAGCAGCACAACTGGTTTCAACATTGATAATAATAATGTTACTTGATAAGCAAATCAGTATATTAGAATAATTTCTGAAGGATCATGTGACACTGAATAATGAAGGTAATGATGCTGAAAATTCAGCTATGATCACAGGAATAAATTCGATTTTTAAAATATAGCCTTGGTGAACATAAGAGACTTTTAAAAACATAAAAACAAACCAAAATGTATATTCACTGTGAAATGTAATCTTTAGCAAATTAATGTAAATTTTTCATACGGCACATAATGATGTTATGATGCCTGAAGTCACTTGTAACATTTAAAATTACTAATTGTCATTTTATTGACTAATTGTCTAAATGTCATTGTCATGACTAATTTTGGACAATTATTTACAATTTAATACATTTTAATTAAAATATATAATAAATTGTATTATTAATGTTATTTAAATGTCAACATTAACCATTTATCAGTTAGTGGTTACATTGTTTACAGATGAAATTAATGATCAGCTTCTCTGTACGGGCGAGAAACTGAAGCCTGTGAATTAAAAAAAATAAATAAATGGTCTCTTTTCAAATCACAGTTTGTTCCCCCAGTGGATTGGGGCTGTAGTTTTGGCCTCTGTAATCCACTCTACGCTAAAAGTTACTTGCGCTGACTGTTAATCATATTGTAATTTGTACTTTGAAGTGCGTCATGTTTTTTTTGGCCTGTGACGCAAGCTCTTCCTTCGAGAGCGTTTCCACTCTTCTGTGGATTTTTTTTTTTTTTCTTTTCTCTTTTTCTCTCACAGCGCAGACATCTAAAAACTGAGGTTAGGAGCTGTCTCATGGTTTCTGAATGAAGAAATTATGAATTGCAATTTAAACTGCTTATTAAACTGCAATGTTTCAGCCAAGGCATGTAATAAAGCATGACAAAATAAAATGATTAACCGCTAATATAAATCAACAGCTTTTATCGCGACAATGCTGAGTGATTGTAAGTGGCAGAGCTTATAGAGCCACCATCTTTGCTTGTTGAATCTCTCATGTAAGAGTGTGAAAAGTTGTGTGTGAGCCAGTGAAGTGAAGCGTTGAGCTGAGGGAGCCCTCGGGCTGGCAGTGTGAGCCCTCAGACACACTGCCTGTTATTTATAGTCGGCCACCTGCAGGCCACGCACGTGTGAGGAACCTTGGGTAAACTGAGCCATAGCTCTGCGTACGTCAGTGGCTTTGTGCATATGGGAGAGAGATGGCACGCTGTGTCCTGCTACTGTTCACTGGGCCTCTGCTGGGATCCTCCAGCGCTTGACCTGGGATCCTTAAACGCACTGCCTCAGTCATGGCCACTCACTCCTGCTGCATCTTTGTCTCTAATGTCAGTTCACTGAGACGTGCATGGTGGTTAAAATTACCAGCTGTATTTTTATTATGTGTATGTGTGTATATAAAAATACAAAATTGAATGGTTTGTTTAATTGATAAAACTGATGAATTATGTAATTGAATTGATCAACTGAATTTTTAACAATAATGGTAATAAATACTAATTAAAATATTTTAATTTATAGCATTATTGTCTTTGTTGGTTATTTGGATAATTGAAAGTCTTAATTTTATGTATTGATAAAACTGATAATTCTATAGAATATTACTAATAACAATAATATACTTTTGTTATTTGTATAAGCTCATACTAAGTTTATGCTAATATGAATTTATTTTAAATTCAATGATAACTGATACTTTTATATAATAGTAAAAAATCAGATAATTTTGTAATACTTTAAATATTTTAATTATATAAAACGTTGGTAATTGTTAGATGTTCGATGTTAAATGCAAGTTCATTTAAATCATGTTTAAAGGGGTCATATGATGCGATTTCAATTTTTCCTTTCTCTTTGGGGTGTTACAAGCTCTTGGTGCATAAAGAAGATCTGTAAAGTTGCAAAGACTAACGTCTCAAATCCAAAGAGATATTCTTTATAAAAGTTCAGAGTCAGCCTTATTATTATTATTATTATTATTATTATTATTATTATAATTGTATGTAATGCTTAATTTGATATTTTATCATTTTAAAATATATTTTACATCACATTTTGAATAATAATAATAATAAAAGTTTATATAAAATTGGTGCTATTTGTGCAAGTCTATTTAAAATGTGAATAAGTATGTAAAAGTTAGGGGTGCTCTATAAAGGCAGATCTCAAAAAACCGGTCTCAAGCTAATGACGCGTCTGTGAGCAGGGGTGTGAAGTAACGAATAACAAATACTCACATTACAGTAATTAAGTAGTTTTTATCAGTAATTTTACTTTTTTTTTGAGTAGTTTAAAAATTGTGTACTTTTTCTTGAGTACATTTTAAGTGATGTATCGGTACTTTTACTCCGCTATTTTCCTCCGCTTGTGGTCGTTACATGCTTATTTTAATTTTTTTTTATCCATCAACGTGATTGGATAGAGAGATAGTAATCAATCTCGTGACTTTCGTCAAATCAAATTGTGCATAGAAAACTTGAACCGCCAACTGCTGTTTATCATGGCTGCTGGAAGTGCATTCTTCAAGCATCAATTCTTCCTCTAATATGTTAAGGTAAATTTTGGATTTCTGCTTACTAAATGATTTGTATATATGCTTGCTACACGGCCTGAAATTTGGTGTGAGATTGCGGGTATTGCGTACAGTGTTAACTCCCGCAAGTGCCACGTTTGGTAAATTCCCACTCACTTATGAGACGCACGA